CTAAACCCTAAACTCTAAATTCTAAAGCCTAAACGCTAAACCATAAACACTAAACCCTAAACCCTAAACCCTAAACACTAAACTCTAAACCTAAACCATAAACACAAAACCCTAAACCCTAGCCCTAAACCATTAATCCTAAACCCTAAACCTAAACTCTAAAGCCTAAACCCTAAACCCTAAGCCCTAAGCCATAAACCCTAAACTCTAAACCCTAAACTCTAAACCCTAAACCCTAAACCCTAAACCCTCAACCCTAAACACTAAACTCTAAAGCCTAAACCATAAACCCTAAACCCTAAACCCTAAATCAAAAACCTTAAACCATAAACCCTAGCCCTAAACCATTAATCCTAAACCCTAAATCACGACTCCTCAAATTTATTACAACAATCAGCAACTGCCTAAGGAAGCAGCACCATATCTTCAACTTGACATGGATGGTCTGGCAAGTTTCAGAAGAAAGAAAATGAAGAAAATCAAGAAACCTCCATGATTTATTCACAGCATAGAGGATCAGTGAAGGAGCTTGAACTCCTTCAGACCCTCTTTTTTGGATGATCCTTCAGTCATATCTTATAGACTCCCTCGTGTTTAGGATAAATTTTGTTTAGTCTTTCCTTTTTTTGTAAGGGGAGAGTCTCCCTTAATTATTTTTCCTAGAAATTGTGTATCGAGAGGAGTCCTCTCACATAGGTGCATAGCAGATAGGTTCCTTTTCTTAGTTTGGTGAAAAGTGGGAGAACCTACTAGTCGTATAGTAGGCTACCAACTTTTGCACCACCATTAAGTGGAGGTAAGGTTTAAGTACCCCTCTATGTAGCTCTTGTTTTTTTTATCTATGATAAGGCCTGGGGGTGTTGCTAAGCCCCTCAACCCTTCAAGGGTCGTTATAATTAAAAAAAAAAAAAACCGTAAATCCTAAACTCAAAACCCAACACCGTAAACCCTAAACACTATACCCTAAACTCTAAACTTTAAACCATAAACTCTAAATCCTAAATAGTAAACACTAATACGTAAACCCTAAACTGTAAACCCTAAACCATAAACCCTAAACCCTATACCCTTAAATCCTAAACCCTAAACCCTAAACCCTAAACCCTAAACCATAAAAACCTAGGCTTCCCCATTTCTCAATTTTTTTCTCTCTCTAATTTCTCTCTCTTCGCGGAACTCTCTCAATAATCTGTGAAACTGCTACAGTTTCAACGGCTAGCTCACTAACTGTTATGGCGCGTGAGCCGCCGGCGAACAGTTTCAAGCCGCCGGATGAAAACCATCAGAGGCGCCTTGAGAAGACAAACAAAACCCAACAGGAATCATCTTCTAATTCGTCCTACAGCTCCACGAATTCACGAAACAATGAAGCGATGCATATCGCGATTTCTGAAAGAGAGCTGGACGGGATTCACAAAATTATTTCCCAAGATCGTGAGAAGTTGATTCATGGAAAGTTGTTTACAGGGAATGACTCTACTAATCAAGATATACAATATACTAAAAAATCGTGTGAATCCATCGTGCCATTTGATAGGACTGATGAGGCGATTTTTGGAAATTTTACCGAAAAATCGCAGGAACTTAGCCTTCAGATTCGTCCACCCTCCCACCAAGTTCATGGCGATTTGACCACTGGGGTTTGCTCACCTGGTGAAGAGGTACCTCCCACTGCAATCTCAGGTCAAATGGACGGCCCAATCGTCGGCGACAAGAACTCCGATGAGCGAGCAACCGGAAAATCGAAAACTGAAGGCGGCGCTACTAGGAGCAATTACTTGTTGGAGGAAGAGGTCCACCTCACCAATATATCCAGCAATTTAAATCAACAATACAGTCAAGAGGACAATCAAGCAGGTTTAGTTGAATCTCCAACCAAACAACAAGTTGAGTTTGAAGGACCCATCTGCAGAACTGAAGCTGAAACACAGGGGACACAATCACAAGACCATGCTGGTCCAAATGGGCAAAAACCGAATCAATTCTCAATGGAACACCAAAAAATGAAGAGGAAAGCGGAGCATGGAGATACAAGAACAGGTCCTGACCAAAATGATCATCACGATAATGCAGGGGATGCAACATTGGAGGTGATTGAAGTGGAGAGTTCATCCCATTTCTCATTTGGGGTGAATCACACGAACACACCAATAAACACTGAGGGGCAGCAAAATTCAGGTAAGAACATTCATTATACTAATAAAACTAATCATGTTCAGATGCAGGAACAGCAGACCAGTGTTACCAGTTTACAAAGCAAAAAATCGAATGCGGAGGATATTCAAACAGGTAAATATTCTACTGATAAAGCTAGTAGAGATGCTGTTAGTTTGTCCAGTAGTGAGGATCAGTTGAATGCCACTGAAAAAGGGCAAAAGACCGTTATGTTGAATGACCATGAACTGCCCAGGGAGACAATGAATCCCACCAACAAGTAGATCAGAACCAGAATAGGGGGAAAAATAAAAGGCATGACCAAATCCCTGATCATGGAGGGAGCTCGGAACCTAATAGTTATCACAAAGACTTCCCTAAAATTTCCAGCAACTATGATAGACCCACCATCTCTAATCAGAAAGCTCTCCAAACCAATCAACCCAACCCATCCAAAGAACCTAACACCACAAATGATAACCAAAAAACCAAACGGGAACAGAATGCTGAACCTGCACCATATACTGTGGTCCAAACTCTGGCTGCCAGACTTAGACAAATCCATGCTACGCATGCAACTCGATAGAATTGGTCCCTCCCAGACACACTACTAAACAGGGCCAACCAGCAGTTATTTACGATATGGACGACTTCATGAACAAATTAACTGTGGATTGTAAATACACCCTTATAGGCAAATTCAGCAATACTATGCCTAAAATAGAACTCATTAGAAAAAGCTTCATCCTACAGACTCAGCTGAATGGGGGGGTCAATATTGCTCACTATAATGCTAGGCATGTGTTTATTGATTTGGACAATGAATTGGACTATAACACTGTATGGACACAACAAAGAATGACCATTGAGGGCAAACTTATGAGAATACAAGCTTGGACACCCACCTTTCGACCTGAAGAAGAAACACCTATTGTTCCTATATGGGTACTGTTGCCAGGCCTACCATGGCATTGCTTTAAGAAAGAATTCATCACACCTCTACTAGAATCTGTCGGCAAAGTGTTATACTTAGATACTGCCTCTATTAAGAGAACTAGAGCCAGCATGGCCAAGGTAAAAGTCCAAGTCGACCTCACCAAAGATAGACCGCAACATATTTGGATTGGTTTGGATGATGAAGATCTAACTATAGGGAGGTGGCAACCTATTGAATATGAGAATATCCCTCCTTATTGTACATATTGCAAACATCAAGGTCACATGATAGGTGATTGCAACTTCAAAATAAGGGATGAGGACTTCAAACGAAGAAAGGAGCTAGGAACAGAAATGGCAAACATACACAAAGGGGAACAAGGGCAACAAGGAAATGAACACAGACAAAACAGAACAAGGGATCAAGAGACACAGCAGCACCAAAACAGTAAGGAAGGGAGCAACCAACAATCACCTGAACAGCCAAAGGAAGATGAATGGCAAATGCCAAGAAGAAGAAACAATAAACCGCAAAAGGAGAAAATACAGAAGGCTGTGTGGAGACCAACCTCACCACAAAACAAAGTGCCAAAAGAGCACCCACAACTCACATCTCAACACACAGGTACAAATAACATTCCTAATCATAACTCTTTTACTAACCTTAAAGTGCAGGGAAAACAGTCTCAAGATAGTCAGGAGCCTACCAGCAATGAAAAGACAATGCTCCAAGGAGCACAAAACAGGTCCAAATCAGAACCCAAGCAAAGAGCTCAGACCAAGCAACCAGAAAAGCAAGCAAATAACAAGAGCACAGGTATTGACTCAATGCTCCCAAACCCCATAAGCCCCACGATTTCTTATTCTAATGAATTTGTTGAAGTTGAAGGAGGGATAGATGGGGGTTGTCAGGAGAGACATACTAACTTGCAGGAAAGGGGATCCAAAGGGGGGAATTTGACTCATGTTATGCATGACGTTACACACCTTGAACATAGTTCAGACCAACAGGAGGTACAGCAGCAAGAACAATCAGGACCAGGAAAACAAAGTGATACGGGAAAAAACAGGAAAAATCAGCAAGAGGAAGTAAGTCCTGCAGGTATACATAATAAAGGTTCCATGGCAAAAGATATGGGGGCCAAAGCAAGTACGAGTAACCAAGGGAACACTCCCAAAAGCAAGAACAAGCCTAGCAAGAAAAAAAGAGAAGCCGCAAAAAAGAGACTGAACATACACCAACAAAACAGTGACCAACAAGAGAAACAACAAAAGGAGGGGGAAGTCTGTAAGAAGTTTATCATGGTTGATGATCAATTGGGCATGGATATCACTCCTCTACGAACACAATATATGGACCCTCCTATTAATGTCCCTCCGGATAAACGATCTGAAAATTGTCAAATGAATAAAGGTCCTTTAATTGATGAATATGCTGTTGTCAATTCAGAAGATGAACTTGACGTGGATAATCAATCCTCAAGGATCCTGATGAGGATGATGAGACTAGTGAACTATTGATTAGAGCTTTTAGTCCTCATCCAGATAAAAGCTTTGCCGATGAGATTCAACAGGTGGCCAATAAACAGGGATATCTCCTAGAGGCATACATCAAGATAAATTCCAATTCAAAAATCAGGACACCAACACTGTCACTGCTGGCAGACCAAATACCAGACTTTTTACCTCCAGATCATCCCAATGATTAGTACAATATTTGGAATGTGAGGGGGATCAACACCCAAGGGGTTATTGAAAGACTTAAAATGCTCAAGAAGATGCACCAACTTTCTATTATTGCTATCCTCGAACCTTTCTCAGACACTACCTATATTCAAAATTTTAAAAACCAACTAGCCATGGAACATGCTATGAGTAATTGTAACGGCAAAATTTGGCTTTTTTGGAACATGGACATTGATTGTGTAATTCTGGAGGAGGATGAGCAACAAATTACCTGTGACATTGGCCATAATGAACTTCAGACTCATTTCAATATGACCTTTGTGTATGCCAAGTGTAAAGATCACCTCAGAAGACCTTTATGGGACAGAATGATATTTCGAGCTGGAGAATCTAACAGACCTTGGTGCTCTGTGGGCGACTATAATGTTATTACCTCTATTGAAGAAAAGTTGGGAGGAGTTCCATACAACATGAGAAAAAGTTTAGAGTTCGTGCTATTATTGAAGCTTGTGGTCTTGTGGACTTAGGCTTCAATGGACAGAAATATACTTGGTCTAACAACAGAGGTATACAACAGAGAATATGGAAAAGACTGGACAGAGCTCTAGTTACTGATGCTTGGCTGGAGAAGATGCCTCAGACTACTATCACTCATTTACCATCTGTAGGGTCAGATCACTGCCCATTACTGATGGAAATGATTGCAAGGAAGGAAGATCATATCAAATATTTTAAATTCCTTAATTGTTGGACTGATCAACCCAAATTTCTTGACATAGTAAGGCCTGCTGGGAGAGGACTGTCGAGGGTAACAGCATGTGGAGATTTCACCAAAAACTGAAGAGGTTGTCTACCACTCTTAGCAACTGGTCCAGAAAGGAATTTGGGGACATCTTCACTAAAGTCAGAGAGTATGAGGAGAGGGTCAGATTGCGGAGGAGAATTTAATTCATGACCACAGTGATACCAATAGGACTACACTACATGAACTCAATGCAGAGTATATCAGATTTTTGAAGATAGAAGACTCCATTTTGAAACAAAAGACGCAATTACAATGGTTCAAAGAGGGTGATTGCAACACAAAATATTTCCATTCACTGATAAGGGGAAGAAGAAGGAAATTATTCATCCACAAGCTTATCAGGGAAGATGGGGAATGGATGCAGGGAGATGATATTATTGCTGAAGCTGCCTGTGACCACTTCCAGGAACTATTTACAGGGGAAAACAACTCATCAATGAGGGTGCATTGGAGTGTATTCCCAGGCTGGTCACTGAGGAGCAGAATAACAGCCTAACTATCATGCCTAACTTGAAGAATTGAAGGAAGTGATCTTTTCTATGAATCCTAACTCTGCAGCTGGTCCGGATGGGATGAATGGACAATTTTTTTCAAAAGTGTTGGAATATTATTAAGCATGACCTCCTTGATGTCATCCATGCATTCTTTTGTGGTCAAATGATTCCCAAGTATTTTTCTCATTCTTGCATAGTGCTTCTTCCTAAAGTGAACAGCCCCAACAAGCTCAATGAATTCAGGCCTATCAGTCTTAGCAACTTCACTAGCAAGATCATATCTAAAATAGTGAGCTCTAGACTTAGTCCTATTCTACCTAATTTGGTTTCTCTCAACCAAACTGGATTCGTCAAAGGAAGAAGCATATCAGAAAACATTATGCTGGCACAAGAAATCATCCATCATATTAAGAAGCCAAACATTGGGAGCAATGTTATTATTAAACTAGACATGGCTAAAGCATATGATCGGGTCTCTTGGTCTTATATTTGCTTAGTGTTGAGAAGAATGGGATTTGAGGAAGTCTTTATTGATATGGTTTGGAGGATCATGGCTAACAATTGGTACTCTATTATCGTCAATGGCAAAAGACATGGTTTCTTTCACTCCACTAGGGGTCTCAAACAAGGTGACCCTCTATCCCCGGCCCTATTTATTTTAGGAGCTGAGGTCCTGTCCAGATCCTTAAACAGACTCCACAGCAATCCGGATTTCTTTGGTTTTCTTATGGAAACAAGGGGTCCACAAGTGAATCACTTAAGCTTTGCTGATGATATTATACTCTTCACCTCAGGAAGGCAGAAAACTCTTAAACTCATTATGCAAACCTGAAGATTTATGAAGAAACCTCAGGCCAGCTTATTAACAGTGACAAAAGTCACTTCATGGTCCATACTAGTGCCTTTAATAGCACTAGGGATAGGATCAAGAGGATCACTGGCTTCAAATTGAGGGAGGGCACACTTACATACCTTGGTTGCCCCTTATTTGTGGGTAGACCACGGATTGTTTATTTTTCTGACCTTATTAACAAAGTTCTTTGCAGAATTACAGGTTGGCAAACAAATTATTGAGCTATGGTGGTCGAGCAATTTAATCAAACATGTGTTACAATCACTACCTATCCACCTCTATTAGCAGTGACTCCCCCCGTTACTGTCCTAAAGCAGGTCCAAGGTATCATGGCTGACTTCTTCTGGGGATGGAGGAAGGAGAGGAAAAAATACCATTGGGCTTCTTGGAAACACTTAAGCTTTCCTTATGATGAGGGAGGTATTGGCATGAGAAATCTTACGGATGTATGCAAGGCTTTCCAATACAAACAATGGTGGTGTTTTAGATCCAAACAAACCTTGTGGGGAGAATTTTTGAAGGCCAAATATTGTCAAAGATCCAATCCTATTAGTAAGAAATGGGACACAGGAGAATCCTTAACCTGGAAACATCTGATGCACAATAAACATAAAATTGAGGATCACATTCTGTGGAAGCTCAACTCAGGCAATTGCTCCTTTTGGTGGGACAATTGGCTTGGTGTCGGACCCCTTGCACAGTTCTCACAGGACAGTAACAGATTCAACAACATCACTGTAGCAGATTTTTGGGTCGGGGGACAATGGAACATAAACATGCTCACTCAACTAGCCCCTAGCAATTATCTCGCTGACATATAGCTACACAGCTCTATATACAACAGGATGTCCCTGATCAGGCTATCTGGAAACTCACCAGCGATGGAAAATTTACATGCTCCTCTGCATGGAATGAGATCAGGGAGAAGAGGACCAAAACAATGTTCAACACATTCATTTGGCATAAGAGTATTCCTTTTAAAGTTTCTTTTCTTTTGTGGAGAACTTTACGTGGTAAAATTCCTACTAACGAGAAACTAACCAGCTTTGGCAATGAGCCTACAAATTGTTTCTGTTGTTGTAACAGGTCTGGTCTAGATACGATAGAACATACATTCAACAATGGACGATTCGCGACATATGTGTGGAGAAGTTTTGCAGAAGCTGCTGGAATCATCACAGACCACAGCTCCCTCCCCAACTCATCATACAGTGGTGGTCAACTAAGTACCATAATGAGGCACACAAGCTACTACTACAAGCTACACCAATTTTCATTTGTTGGAACCTTTGGAAGAATCGATGCGCTAGTAAATATGGAGGCAAGTCGTCCAACATCAGTCGAGTCAAATATGCAATCTACAAGGACAGCTATAAACTAATGAATGCGAGTTTTCCCCATATCAAATGGCCTTCAAAATGGAAGGAATTATTTCAGCTGGGGGAAAAGTGTGTTCATGATACTAAGGTGATTTCCGTTAAGTGGATAAAACCCCCAGATCAGTGGGTCAAACTCAACACGGACGGCAGTGCACTCACCAACCCTGGCAGAATTGGAGCAGGTGGTATCCTTAGGGACCAAACGGGAGCAATGTTATTAGCCTTTGCTACGCCATTGGGGGAAGGCACTAACAACCAAGCGGAAATAGGAGCAGCCATATTTGGCATGTCATGGGTAATCCAATTGGGCTACAAGAGTGTAATTTTGGAGGTGGATTCGCAGCTATTAGTGGACTGGATCACGCACAAAACTAACCCTCCATGGAATACCAACACACAGCTACAGCAGCTTCAAGAGCTCATCAGACAAACCCATATTTTTCGATGTAAACACACCTTTAGGGAAGCTAACTGTGTGGCTGACTCCCTATCGAAACAAAGTCACAAATTGACAAGTCCCCATATATTTTGCAACAGTCAACAATTACCAAAAGAAGCTAGAGCCTACTATCAATTAGACATGATCGAAATGGCAAGTTTCAGAAGAAGGAAAATCAAGAGGATCAAAGAACCTCCTTGAACCGATTTTATTCTTTCAATTTAACTATGATCGAAAATCATAGCCCTTAGAATAGGTATAGTGTTTAATTGTAAGGGGAGAGTCTCCCTTATTTACGATTCCTAGATGCTTTGTATTGAGAGGAGTCCTCTCTTAGGTGCTTAGTTTCTTGGTTTATCTCTTTTGTAAGGTGATGAGTTGATTAACCCCCGGGTAAATCAACTACTGAACCACCATAGGTTCGGAGGTTAGGTTTATGTCCCCCTCCTTGTACTTTTTTGCTTTATTTGTGCTAAGGCGTGGGGGTGATGCTAAGCCCCTGACCACCCCAAGGGTCGTTAGATTAAAAAAAAAAAAAAAAAACCATAAAAACCTAGATCCTAACCCTAAACCCTAAATCCCAAACCGTAATCCGTAAATCTTAAACCCTAAACCTTATAACCTAAACCCTAAATCCCAAACCATAAACTTGTAGCCCTAAACCCTGAACCATAAAGCATAAACCCTAACGCCTAAACCCTAAATCTATAAACTCTAAACTCTAAACCATAAAACATACACCCTAACCCAAAACCCTAAATCCAAAATCCAAAACCCTAAACCCTAAACCCACAAACCCTAAACCCTAACCACTAAACCCTAACCCCTAAATCCTAAACAATAAACCCTAAATTCTAAAGACTAAACCCTAAACCTTAAACCCTAATCCCAAAACCCGAAACAATAAACTCCACACCATAAACCCTAAACCCTAAACCCTAAATTGTAAACCCTAAACCCAAAACTGTACAACCTAAACCTTAAACCTAAACCGTAAATCGTAAACCCTGAATTCTAAACTCAAAACCCTAAATGCTAAACTCAAATCCATAAACCCTAAACCATAAACAATAAATCCTAAACTCTAAAAAATCTAAACCGTAAACTCTAAAGCCTAAACCCTAAACCTTAAACCCTAAGCCCTAAACCCTAAACAATAAACTCCAAACCATAAACCATAAACCCTAAACCCTAAATTCTAAACCCTAAACCCTAAACTGTACAACCTAAACCTTAAACCTAAACCGTAAACCGTAAACCCTAAATTCTAAACTCAAAACCCTAAATGCTAAACTCAAATTCGTAAACCCTAAACCGTAAACCATAAACCCTAAACTCTAAACCCTAAACTCTAAACCCTAAACCGTAAACCGTAAACCCTAATCCTTAAACTCTAAAGCCTAAACTCTAAACCTTAAACCCCAAGCCCTAAACCCTAAAACAAAAACTTCAAACCATAAATCATAAACCCTAAACCATAAATTCTAAACCCAAAACCCTAAACTGTACAACCTAAACCTTAAACCTAAACTGTAAACCATAAACCCTGAATTCCAAACTCAAAACCCTAAATGCTAAACTCAAATCTATACACCCTAAACACTAAGCCATAAACCCTAAACCCTAAACTCTAAACCCTAAAGTCTAAACCCTAAACCCTAAATCAAAAACCCTAAACCATAAACCCTAGCCCTAAATTTTTAATCCTAAACCCTAAACCTAAACCGTAAATCCTAAACTCTAAATCCTAAACTCTAAACACTACACCCTAAACCCTAATCCATAAACCATAAACTCTAAACCCTAAAGATTAACCCTAAACCCTAAACCGTAAACAATAAATCATAAAACCTAAACCCTAAACCCTAAACCCTAGTCCTAAACCATTACTCCTAAACCCTAAACCTAAATCGTAAATCCTAAACTCAAAACCCAACACCGTAAACCCTAAACCCTATACCTTAAGCTCTAAACTTTAAACCATAAACTCTAAATCTTAAATCGTAAACACTAATACGTAAACCCTAAACTGTAAACCCTAAACCATAAACCCAAAACCCTATACCCTTAAATCCTAAACCCTAAACCCTAAACCATAAAATCCTAGATCCTAACCGTAAACCCTAAATCTTAAACCGTAAACCGTAAATCATAAACCCTAAACCTTAAAACTTAAACCCTAAATCCTAAACCTTAAACTTGAAGCCCTAAACCCTAAACCGTAAAGCATAAACCTTAACGCCTAAACCCTAAACCTATAAACTCTAAACTCGAAACCATAAAACATACACCTTAACCCTAAACACTAAATCCAAAATCCAAAACCCTAAA